GATACGCCTCGGTCGGTCTTTTGGGAAGTTCTTGAAATGAGAAGCATACATGAAGAGCCCATTGGAATCTTAGACCGAAGCTCTACCTGGATGGATGGCATCCGAGCATATTTAGCAGACGACAAACTTCTTGATTCACCACAGGAGGCAACCGTCATGAAAAAGCGAGCAGCAAACTTCAAGTTGAGAAACGGAGAGCTCTTCAAGGCGGGTTTCCTTAAACCTCTATTGAAGTGTGTCCCCAGAAAAGGGGAAAGAAGTTCTCGAAGAATTGCATGCTGGGTACTGTGCCTCTCATATAGGCGGCAGGTCCCTAGCCATTAGAGCCAGGCGGCATTACTTTTGGCCTACTCTTGAAGCAGACGCTAAAGAGTTGGTGAAGAGATGTGACAAATGCCAGAGGTTTGGCAAGCTTATTCACCGCCCGGCTACTAACCTGACGGCAATCCACAGCCCAGTCCCGTTTGCTAAATGGGGCATGGATATCTTGGGTCCTTATACGCCTGCTGCTCCAGGCGGAAAGCGCTACATTTTGGTGGCTGTGGATTACTTCACCAAATGGGTAGAAGCTGAGCCGGTTAAGAACATCAAGACAAAGGATGTCATCTCTTTCATCTGGAAGAATATCATCACCCGGTTTAGGGTACCTATGTCTATGGTGTTTGATAATGGCCCTCAGTTTGAAACCCCTCATCTCAAGACTTGGTTGGGAGATCAGGGCATCTCACATTGTTTTGCATCAGTCGGCCGACCCCAAGCAAACGCCCAGGTTGAAGCTGTTCCAGGAATGGATCCAAGGGTTCTGCTGGGTAAGCTGGGTCCCGTCAACAACCTACACACGCTAGCACACGTAAACTGCCCTCGAGGGTGGCTCGAGGAACCCCCCTCCGAAGCTTAAGTTAGAGAGTGTTTAGAGAAAGAAAGTGTACTTAGAGAGATAGAGAAAGTGTAATAACTTGAGTGTCTGACCTCCTTTCCGTTGTACTTTACCCTCTATTTATAGGCGTACTATCTCCTTCGTGGAGAGTTCAGCCTGTTCAGCCCTGCGGGCTAACCCTGCCGGGCTGATGAGCCTTCCTTTAGCTGCTTATTCGGCGGTGAGTGTGCACCCTGGGGTATGGGCGATAGTTCAACGGGAGATATCCTATACAACCAGCCCCTCAAGAGGTGGTATGAGGTCACTCATGCCGACTCTTTGCCTGTAAGAACGTTCTTCTCAACTGAGCCCAGTTGGAAGGAATAGCTCAGCAGGAGCTATCCCCTACAACTAGCCCCTCAAGAGATGGCGTGAGGTTCTTTCATGCCATCTATTCTGAGCATGTAGCCTTATCGGCTCTGACTCAACGGGTCGTCTTTTGGACACTTTGTCCAAAGTCATCAAGTATTGGGGCAAGGTACTCATAGTATACCATGCCCCATGGCCGCCTGGGGCCTTGCTCAAATAATGCATGTGAGCGAAGGCGGAGAAGCTTGGATTTATATTCTGGAGCTCGCAGGCGGCGATGTAACTTAGGATGTTCACCCACGAGTTGGGGGTGAGCTGCCAAACTCCTAAATCGTACCCCTTCAGGATTTTCCTAATCCTAGGGTGGGGAGGGAACTGGAGGCCGGCTTCTATTACCGCCTCGTAGCAGACAAAATAATGGTCTGCATTATCAATATCATCGTCCCACGCCATTACTGCGTCAGCAGGCGGAACGATGATATCCCACCCCTTCCCAAAGGGGTGCTTATCTTTAAAGGCCCTAAAGCCGCTTTTCTGTAGGGCGATGTCACCCGGAAACATTCTAGTCATTTTTGGGTTAGGGTGGTCAGCGACTTTAGGCGGCTGCTGATAGTCAGCCACAAAGTTATCCTTGTCAGAGCCAGAAGATTCGGCCTTTGACCCTTCACCGGCCTCGTCGTCACCGGTTCCATTAAAGGAGGCGGCTTCCTCACCGCCTTCCTCTAGTATTCTGGAGCTCTCGGAAGTAGAGGGAGACTCTTCATCAGAACCACTCTCCTCCAATTCCCTCTGTTCCCTGTCCTGGAACAACCTCATCGGATGGCACTGACATAGTGCACCGACTCCTAAATTTCCTGGCCATCTGTTTGACTCTGGCCATTGTGTCCTGCACAGACACAGAGAGGGAGGAATTTGGGGATGAGCACATCGGTTCTAACAGTCCAGAAAAGGCACCCCCTGTTCTAGACTCAGCCGTCCCAAGGGACCGGCTGAGTGTCCTAGGCAGTGCGAGTGTGTGGATTGAGAACTCATTTATATTTTCTAAAAAACTATGTATACAGGCGGAGAAAGAATTGTATACAAGTTGAAAAGAGAAAAGCTAAAATGGTACAGGCGGTTACCTTACTTTTACTCTGAAAAATTTGAAAACCGCTATAGCCGGTAAACCGGGTGTTGAACTGCTAGCACACGGAAAACTCGGAAATGCTCTGACGCAGACGGAGGCAGAGAATCTCTCTCTAAAAAGCTCTCTCTTTCTCTCTTTAAAAAGTCAAATGAACGTAAGGTTAGAGAAAAGGGGGGGGGGGGGGTAAACTTCTGTTTATAGAAGGTGAAAACGGGGGGAAAATTTTCGTTTGAAATTTAAATTTACTATCCGTTACTGTTCACCTCTGATAGGTGGACACGTGTCACAGGCCCCACGTGATATGCACGTGAGCCCTATGAGGGGCAAATAGTTAGGGTAAAAATACCCTAGACACGTGGACCAATGAGAGGGGGCCACGTGTCAAGTTCAGGATGGCCCACGTGGCTTAATATCCTCTTGACACATGGCCCCCTTGGATACATCCCTGAAATGGCGGCCTTCAAGGGCCCAAATCCCAAGAAGCACCGTAAAACGGCGCAGCCCAGTGAAATCTAGGTCAAGTGACCTAGATAGGGGAACGTTCTCCAATGACCTTATAAATAGGGAGATATTTCCCCATTTTGGTAACACATTCAATCATTTATTACACCTACATTCTCTCTCATCAGAAAAACACCTGAGCTTGGAATCCAAGCAGATCCCCACCTAAATTTCCGTACTCTTTATTTCCTTTCAAGTTACTAACTTGACCTTCGGAGGCGGAGCTCCAACCACCCGGAGTCTCCGTTGTTTTGCAGGTACAACTCAGCCGAATTAGACTTCGTGACGTAACTCTCCCGAGGGACAAAAACACCCAAAACACTACCCATATTGTATTCAAATTACGTTAGGCAAAACCACAAGGTCTAGTCAGTTCCGATAGTAAGAATCGTCACGGTTGTAGTACTCGTTAAGTTCTTATAAAAAAAGAAAACTCTATCCTTAAGCTTTGCATACAGTTAATGGAATTGTAATTAATTTTAACCAGTAATTTCACTCCCTAAAGCCTGCCAAAAATTCTCAAAGTTGCACCGGCTGTTCCTGGAGTTATTAGATTGAGTTCTTTCCTCTTCTGTGGGTTTGACTCGTCATCTTTGAATATCACAGCTCTAAATTTGGTGCCACTACAGCCATCTACGGATCTACCACTAGTACCCACCGTAACAGCTTCCCAGAACATCCATAACCACCCATATTTTATCACCAAAACTGCAGAAAATGAGACTATTGAGCAAATCTCTGTCAATAATTATTTTTTCATTAATGAGAGGAAATTTTGACAATTACCACCTTATATTATGTCCATTTTAGCAATTATCACCTTCCATTTTTTGAAAATTACCACCTTTTATTTTGTAAAACCACAAAAAAAAACTCCCACCTAGTTGACTCCTAACTGCCTAATGATGTCATGTGGGGCCCACTTTTACCTTCCCTCTTCTTTTTCCCTCCCATTTCCTCTATGCTCACTCGATTTTCAACTCACCTGTCTCTCTTCTCTCTACTTCGCCATTAATATCAATTAATCCAATTTCACCAACCTCATTTGTTTAGAAAATTTACTCCCTTGCGTCACATCCTCTTTCACTGGCATAATTCTTGTTCAAATAAGTTGCAGCATTGTCCCAAATTTGTACCTTATTCCAGGCGTTGTAAGAGAGTAGAATTGGGTGGAAAACGACGCTGAAGGGGGGACCAAGCTAGGAGGATTTTGGTTGTTGGAATCAGCAAAAGGGAGTAAAAAAGCAAGGTAATTTGACTTTAAACAGTGAATTTGTGAAACCCTAGAAATTGTTAAACTTGAATTGCATACAAATTTGTGTAATGTGGTATTATATTCATGAATTAGTTGTAAAGTAGGGTTTTTTATTGTTTAAGCTGCATGTTGTTAATTAGTTCACTAATTGAATACCTTGACCCCTAATTTGAATTGCAAAACCCTAATTTCAACTACACTGATTTAATTACCAAATTGAAAATCAAAAACCCTAAAATCAATTGAAACCCCCTAAATTAAGATGAACAACATATCTTTCTTCGTGGAATCGTTGTCATGTTGCAGCAACACCAAATATTGTTCGTTAATTTTGTTTTGGAGGAGTGAATTGAAGTGTTTCTGAGTTGTTTGAGGGAAAAAAAGTGAAAGGGGAGATGAAAATCGAGTTAGGAATGTGAAATTAGAGGAAAATTGGGAGGGAAGGTAAAGAGTGGGGCCCAGATGATGTCATATGGCAGTTGGGAGGCAATAAGGTGGTAACTTTTGATGTTTTAAAAAAGATAAGGTGGTAATTTAAAAAAAAAAAAAAAAATATTAGGTGGTAATTGCTAAAATGGACATAATAGAAGGTGGTAATTGTCAAAATTTCCTTAATGAGACAATAAAAAATGTGCACTAGTAAATTTAGACCTCATTTCAGTATAAACATTGTACCAACATGATATGAGGTCTAAAAATACCAACATTTGTTGTAAAAAATGATGAGTAATTATTGATGTAGATCGCCTCAACATGTTTCCCCTTCTGTAGAAATTTGTAATATTTTCACTATAAGCTATAAGTCTGTTTGCAAATACAATCGGAATTTTGTATTGTAATTGTATGGCCATTTCAAAAATTTGCATACAAGGAACCGAAATGTACTTGTATAATGATCAAATGAACATTGTTATGCATAAAAACAAAAACAAATCATCAAACATGCTAGGAATTATACATGATTCAATCTGAACGTTTCTTTGAGTGGCACACATACATTAATACATATATGTAATCCTAAATGTGTAAAATGCAATTTTCCTATGAACATTGAAATGATGATCGAACCATTACATGCTACAAGTTCAAATTAAAGTTAACAATTTTTGCAAACATTTATTTGTCACACCTCAAAAGAATAATATATAATTTGCTGACTTTTTTCTCACCATTACAATAAATTTCTATAGCAGCTATTGAACCCCTTAGGCGACACTCCATCTTAGAGAAGGCGTTCACCTTATAATCACTGAACATAGAACTCAGCAAGTTCGTCCAAGGACTCATAAGCGTCGAGATTAGGATCACCATTTTCAAGCATCCATAAAAGATGATCAAATAAAACTACTTCACACTTAATGTTGATGCTATGATTCCCTGGACTTTGCTTGGACTTTTCGATTAGAGCATTCAACAACGGGTGAGTCAAGTACTTGGAATTGATCACATACCGCCTCCTCGAACTCCCTACGTAGATAGTCTCTCCATTGTCATCACAATGATTCTGTCGGCGGTCTCCTACCTTCGAACATTCCTTAGTTGAGTTGGATCTTAGACTAGTATAGGATGATGATCTTTTCAATTGCCTTGATAAACTCTTGCATTTCCTTAACATCAAATGAAGCTTTTTCATCTTATTTTTATAAATGCTATGATAGATTGAATGTATTTGAAACCATAGAAAGAAACTAAGATAATGAATAAATAAAGGTGACTTAAGATACACTCACATTGGTGCCAATTTGTAATAGGAAATTCACTCTTTTTTATTTATTTATTTATTTTAATTTTTTTATTTTATTTTCATTTTTTTTAGTTGGGTGGGTATAATGAAGTTGTTGGCTTCTGTTCCATGAAAGTGGGACCATATGTAGCCAAAAAATTCTATAATGACATAATTATACTTTCTCTTCATATTATGCTTACACTAACATTTAAGTTTCACAGTATCACATATACTGTGTGAAAATGAAGCATACATACCTTCCTGTCTTACTGTGTTGGGGTGGTGTGTGGCGAAAAAGTAGAATTATAGTGGTTTTAGGGTTCAAGTAAAAGACGGTTACACGCCAAGCCATTTAGACGAGCCTCGTGCTCAAACATGTTGTGCTTGAAATGGACTAAAGAAAAGTTAGGGCCTATACACAACTTGCCCACGTACCAACATGCCCCTCAACAATTTTTAGCTAGCTCATCGTGCTCATGTCAGACTCGTGCCAAATTTTATACATGATGTCTACGGACAGCATGTAGAAAATTATTATGGATCTCATTTCATGTTGAGTTTACGAAGGGCTTGTGTTAGGCCTAACCCCTAATTGTCAGCCTAATTCACACATAACTCTAAGTCTCTAATGATACAAGTGTGATATAAATATGAATATAGGAATGATGATCTAACTTTTATTGAGAAATGAATTTACCTTTTAGTAAATAAAATAACTATGATTTATGATTTTTTGAGTTCATATTACAAAAAAAAAAAATAAAATAAAAAAAAAAAAAGCAAATTTCAATTTTTGTCAGAATAACATTATATGGAATTAGTATTATGTTAATGTTTATGATAATGCTAGTTCTAGGCTGTTAACAAACTAGTTAAAAGAAATTTGGATGGTCGTCAAGTCTTTATAAAACTTCCAAACCACTATAAAAGTTTAGCCAAAGTAAAAATTTATAGAAATTTTGTTGGCAATTTTTATTGTACAACCATTGTACCACGCGCATGGTAAAACAAAGCAAAGCTGCTATTTCTTAACTGCTGAAGATTAACCCAACTCTTTGGGCAAGTGAAGTAGAATTGTCTTACATGTCAATTTGCTTCTTAAATGCAAACAAATCATATCTTAAGAATGTAGGTAGAATGTCACAATGGCACCATAATTTAATCATCGATTACGTGCATAATTAGAAAGTTGTTGTGAAGTGTTGGATCACTCATACTTGACGATTCATGGTTGGATTTGGAAAAGTAATGAAAGCTTATCACCAACTTAACGTAATCTCTTCTTGCTTAAAAGGAAATGCATCTTCTATTTATGTTTTTATTTGTTTATTTTTTATTTAGAAAAAGAAGATTAAGAGTTGCAGTGATACAATCATACAAGTCATATGACTTATTTCTCTTTCCAGGAAATGGAGTATGTACCAAACGTTCTCTCTGTACAAAATGATACAAACTAGGGAGAGGACGCTTTTGCTCGGCGCTTGTCTTTCCGAATCGTTATCATCCGTTTTATATCAGTTGACACATTATTTTAGACACATTTGCCAATATATATGTTCAACTATCTACATCTTCAATCACAAATAAGCAAAATTATATAGAAAATATTGATAAATAGAATACATATGTTGAATCAAATTTAGTGAAACCTCACATAATTATGTTTTATTCTTAACACAACATAACAAGAAGAAATCAAAATAATTTATTTAAATAGTGTCCAAAGTCAATACGTTCCACTAAAAAGTGAATAGATTCAACTAAAAAGTCAATACCTAATTTGATGGCATCCACCTATTTATTTCTGCTTGAACACAAGGCCAATACCAACACGGACAAATCGATCTACCAATGAATTATAAGAGGTACTACCGACACAATGGTCGATGATATTAGTAATAAACTTGAACGTTGCATATTAATTTCTTGCTGATGATCAAACATGAATTTTGTTACTCTACCCTAAACTAAAAGCTAAACTTTCTTAAAGGCTAATGATCAAACATGTTTTTTGTTACTCTGCCCTAAAAAAAATAAAAAAAAAGTTAATCGTTCTCAAATCTCAATGCATGCAGCATGCATATTTAGGAGATGTGATAAATGAGAGAGTGTGTAGAGTTTGGTCAATTAGTGGTGAGAAAAAAAAAAAAAAAAAAAAAAAAAAAAAAAAAAAAAAAAAAAAAAAAAAAAAAAAAAAAACAGACATTGGGCTTTGATTTATCAAAAGTGAATTGAAAAGCAAATAATCCATAAACACATAAAACCAAAGTAATTCCTGTACTCAAACTTAGCAAATTTCGTCTTCTAACCCCAGTGGACATTGTTTCTGCTTTTAATCAAAGAAGGCCTATAAGTTGTACATGCATCTCGTGAAAAGAATGAAAGTAACTTCAAAAAGTTCAAATTTCCCACTCACCGAATTCACGGTCAAAAATTTCATTACAATATGGCCGATTTCTCCTCTTTTTAACTTTGTACCAGTTGGTATATTGTTAATACTATTACAAACTGAGAACTACAGTAGATAAGGGTACTCAACTGTCTCTCTGTAAGCTAGGTATCGACACAAAAAAAAAGAAGCAAGATCAAGAGGGCACTGGCTTACAAAATCAGAAGCATCTCTATTAATCGGATCGACAAAGTTCACCTCCTGTCAGTTCGCCGCCTCTCATTGTTGCCATGAGTGTAATCTCTTGAGCTTCTTCTCTGATTTTGCACTTCCTTTCTGCTTGGCTCATAAAAATCTGAATCTCTCCTCCTATCCCTGTCCTTACTCCTATCAGCTCCATCTCTCTTGCTCAATATACCTATATTTTCAGTCATTTTTCTGTTATCCCCATCATTTTTCTTCTCTCGGCAATCCTGGTCAATCCTGCGATCATACCTACTCTCTTTCCGATTCCTGTCTTCCCTCCCATGACTTCTCTCTCTTTCCTTGCCATCCCTGACATGACTATTACCTCTCTCCCTTTCATCCCTTCGGCCACCATGCCCATCATGATCATCATTTTTGTATCGACGTCTCTCACTGTCCCTTGAGTCTCTATTCTTCCCATCACGCCTGTGTTTATCATCACCGTGATCCCTCCTTTCAGATTTGTGTCGTTTCCTATCTGGCTCATAATCTCGGTGCCTCTTTTCTCTTTTTGGGCTTCCACCATCTTCATCAAACACCATCTCATAGCTGCAAAAATGGCAAACATTGTTAGACATGGTAGAGCCACCCTCAAGGGAAAAGGTGCAGATTCATCAATAGCCGCTGAAAACTAACCCTGCATCTCTATTTCCACCATGCTGCTGATTATCTTCTTTTAGAACATATTTCTGATGCTGACCAGGCATTTCTCCCATGGAGCAATTTTTTGCAACATGATCTAGTGCACCACATTTGAAGCATCCTCTTCCTACACATGACAGAAACAAAGGCATTTTAGAAGCTATCATTGGTTTATCGTAGAGCTGCCAAATTTCCAATATGAAAAAGGAATGGAGGGAAATAGTTCTTTGGCGGTAAACACAATTAGTATTTGGTTGAAAATCTTAACTATGTTTTAGAGCCTTTTTGGTTGTAAACACTGTTAAACAGATTTATGATCTATATACACCAAAGCTGTTACTTGGACTTGGTACAAGTGATGTACTTTATTGTCAGACATGCCTAATTCCCATAGGTTTTCTGCTGTTTTTGAGGATTATAACACGCTCAACAAAGCGACACAGGTATGATGATGAAATGGATAAGTCAAGGTGTGAAGAATACAGGTGCCATAGGTCATCTACTCATCCATATTCGAGTCTCCACAATTCCAATACAAAACTGACAGGTATTATGTGTTTGTCATTTTACTAGAACCAAAATCTTATACAGTGCTTCCATGGCAATCACTTCTTCACATACAAGAAGCCACAACAACTTTCAACTTTGTTTAAGCCTACATTGGGACTAACAGGTGATATAGGGAGCCTACCCTACACCAGCCAGCCTTCTACTAGAAAGGCTATCCACAAAATAGAATATACCTAGACCCCACCAATGGAAGAATTCATCATTCCACGTGATGTGAATCAAAGGCTAATTCTTTTGAAGGGTTAAATACACTTTTAGAAGGTCCAAACAACTCTATTGTAGGTTGTCCAAACAAGGAAAGGTTCAATAGCTGAAATGGGGAAGAAAGAAGCATGATTTACAAGGAAGACGAAATGACACATCTGACTTCGACGAAGATTGTGGCTGCCACGCGCCGACTCAGGCCCCACGCTGCTCCTGCTTGGACTCTTCTTGACCGTGGACAGACGTGTGCACCTCCTTGGTGGCGCGTGCATCGAGCTTCGGCTCTGACTTGAAATGGAAGATTTTCCATACTTAGGTTTTTTTTTCTAGAGTTTTGCTTGCAAGTTTTTACCTTTCACTTGAAAGGGTTTTTCTTGGTTTAAGCACTTAGGATTAGCTTTATTTTCTGTTATTTAGTTTATGTAAACTTCCTAAGGTTATTAGGAATGTTTTTAGTTAATTAGAGTTTGTTTAGGAGTGTTTTCCTATTCTAGTTAGAAGTATCTAATTAGGATGCTTGGAGCACAAGGTTAGGGGTTTGTCCTAGTGTCACGATCTGAATGTTTTGACACCGGATCGTGCGGCGCGCACTTGTCTATTGACGACAAGGATGCAAGCCTAGAGCAGGAAAGGTTCGTGAGCACACAGCAACACGGACCAAGGGTATCTCAAGGAAGCACTCGTCAACCACGGGTGCGGAATCGGGGCTTGTGACGGCCGATGCTTCAAAGCGGGCACAAGCGGAACCGACGAGATGAAGGCGTCTTTGGAGGTTTCTTGGTTTGGTGGGGGATGCTTTAAAACAAGGTAAGCACAATATCTACAAAGGCTTAAAACAACACACAAGTCTTAAAGCAAAGCAATGGGGTCAGGAGCTATGATTCAATAACCAATCACTCCTTAAAGAGCTTTATATTGATTGCATAGAGAAATACAAGTGAATACTGAAACTACAGTAACACAATAATACTCCCTAGAGTCTAGAAAATAAAAAGGAAAGACTTAGAAGGTAAAACCTAAGGAAAATACAAGGAAAAGGAAGGGGATACATAGAGAAAGAGGCGGATTCTAACACCTTGTCCTTGTAGGAGTAGAAGTAGTGCCTCTTATGCCTATAAATAAGGGGAATTTCGTGGCTTAAAGAGACACATAATAATACACAAAAATTCAGATTAATTGTTTAAGTTTTATACTTAAGTTTTGGTTGATTTGCGAATCAATTGCTGTTTTGCTTGTTTTAGTTTAAAACATTCGTTTGGATTAATTAATTAGGTGGATTCTTAGTTGATTGGTGGATTTCCTGTATACAATTAAGCTTAAACTTATCCCATGTGTTTTGTTGATTTTCGGATCAATAATTCACATCATCTTGGTATCAGGTTGAGCGCTTTGGGTAGAAATTAAACCAGTAGCGTTTGGCTGAGTATCTTTAGTTGAAATTTGGAGGGTAGACTCTAAAAACGTTCAGCTATCACGTCCTAAAATTTCGTAATTTTTGGACAAGTAACGAGTTCTGCACAGCCTCAAACATTTGGTATTGCTGCACTAGTTTCCAGGTTGGCATGCTTTTGGTAGAAAAAAAAAACGGTAACGTTTGGCTGGGAATTTTTTAGTGATTCTTTTTGCGTTGGACTCTAAAAACGTCAAAAAATGTCGTAGCAATTGGTTGAGTATCGCGACCTACACAACCTCAAACTTTCGGTGTTGCTGCACTAATTTGCGGTTGAGAGCCCGGTTTTGTTTTACTTAATTATTGATCAAAGATTTGATCTTTTAATCAAGATTTTTGCATAAACTAACCATGTTAGTGTAGGAGTTATGAGTGACGAAGAGATACCACAGGTTCCTAAGGGTTTGACCCTAGAACAAGCCCATAATTTGCGAAGGGATCGACAACTAGAAGCCTTGACACAACAGGTGGAAGAATTGTTGAAGAGAGTTGATCGGCGTGATAGATCTTCATCAAGGAAGGGTAGTTCCACCTCAAGTTCGAGTGAGGAAGAACGTGAGAGGAGGAAGCCTAGGAAGCCACGCAAAGATTACTCTTCAGGTGATGAATCTCCAAGGCGAAGGAGGAGAGATAGACCAAAGGATGATTATCGTAGTTTGAGACTTGATTTTTCATAATATAGTGGGAACATACTAGAGCCTGAAAAATACTTTGAATGGGTTAGAAAAGCCGAGGCATTCTTTGATTGCAAGTAGTATGACGAGAGAAAAAAGTGCAAGATCGCCAAATTAAAACTCACAAGCTACGCTAGTTTGTGGTATGATAACTTGAAGAAAAAGAGGCGCAAGGAAGATCGTTCTAAGATTACCACTTGGGAGCAACTCAAGAAACACACAAAGAAGCGATTTGTGCCCCAACAAGATGTATACATGGAGGTTGGTGCCGAGCAAGGAGTAGAGAATTTCGAAGAAGAGGAGGATAATGTCAAGGAGTTAGATGCAGAAACACAAGGCCAAAGCTTGGTCCTTAGGAGAACTTTGCACTCTAAGCCCGTACCTGTTGAAGAAAATCAAAGGGAGAAAATTTTTATGACAAGGTGCAAGGTGGAGGAATGTCTATGTGATGTGAAGATCCACACGGGAAGTTGTGCCAATGTCGTGTCTACAATGTTGATCAATAAATTGGATTGGCCTACAACCGACCATCCAAAGCCCTACAAGTTTCATTGGCTTAGTGATGAGAGTGATATTAAGGTACTAAACAAGCCTTAATCACTTTTCCAATTGGTAAATTTCATGGTAAAGTGCTATGTGATGTTTGTCCTATGCATGCTTGTCACATTCTTTTGGGTAGACCATGGCAATTTGATCGACATGGGAAGCATGATGGTGAGGCCAATATTTACTCGGTCAAGGTAGGAAAAAAACGTTTTAAATTGCTTCCTTTGTCTCCTAATGAAAACCGTTCAAAAGCTAAGGAGAATCATCTTTCTAATATGTCCATGAATGCAAAAGGGTTCGAAAAGAAGATGGAGGAAGATTGTCAAAAGGATAGTGATGAAGAGAAACATGTTGGTGCTAAAGAGCTCGAAGCAAGGGTGATTGAAACAATTGATGTTCCAATTGTGTGTGACGATGTTCAAGATGAGATTATTCATGATGATCTACCAAACATATATGCATGATGGCTTTAACCAACATATTTTAAAAGCTGATGTGTTAATTTATAGTTCTATAATATATCTAGTGCCATTTTTATGTACAGAAATGGCCTCTATCATTATTTCATGTTCTGAGCTGTTGCTTTATCCTACGGAATTGGTACTATAAAGAAGATAAATGACTTTAAACAATAAAAAAAAAAAAAAATAACTTGGCATTTATACCTTCTTCCCGGCACCAACAGAATTAAATTGCCAAACTCAAAGTAAGAGAAGAAAAAACAAGAGGGGGTGAGGGGGAAGAAAAGCAACAGAGCATTTTTTTACCTTGAGTTCCTTTCCGTCTAAATTGATTCCAGAGCTTAGAAACACTTTGACTAAAATCAACTTTTATCCTCCTGTCATCAATTAGTGCATTGTCCATCTACAAGAAGACAAAGTACAAGTTACATAAGGTCCACCAAACCTTATTCTCTTCTTTAAGGGTATGATAGACAAACTATTGGAAATTGGAGCTAATAACCTGAAGCTAATTAAACCTGACTAAGTTTTCCTTATTTTCCAAGTATCGTATTGCACCAGTTAAGATTGCATTTCCAAGAAATAGGAGATGATTACCAGTTTCTATTTTCCAAGTATCTTATTCCACCATTTCAAATTGCATTCCCAAGAAAATTAGATATGATTATCATTTTCTACCCCCCCCCCCTCTCTTATATCAACTTAAGAATCTTCCCACCCATTTTTATTCCTGAATCAGTGTAACCAAATTTGCTAGATTCCATTTATGATTCGAAAAATACGTATTGGTACATATGAATTGGTAAAACAAAGAGTTTTGGATTAATTTAACAAGATTTGTTGATGAATTGCATTTTGTACCCATTCCACATACCATGAATTAGTTATCCCAAGTATGTTCCTTTTCTTTCCCATATATATATATGGGAAAGAAAAGGAAATAAAAAATAGAAAACAAATTATATATATTATATCACTATAAGAATCTATGAAGATCAGCAAAAATGTAATATGTTTCCTCTGCTATAACAAACCTTGAAGTAAGCTCGCTCGCAAGCGTCATTACTCTCAAACTCTGTTACATTTAAACATTATTGACAAGTCAGTCATCACAGATAGCTATTAAGTGATAATATGTAATTATAAAATATTTTAGCATGCATGAAGTAAAATTCAATTTAAGCATCAACAATACTAAGCATAAAAGACCAAGTAGAAGCATAAGGGTGTTCCAGGGAGTTAAATGATTCAGTCCATTCTCCATTGTAATCCTTCATTCAGTACCATCTTCCGTTTAATAACATAGCATGGTCAAAAGAAAATTTAAAAAAAGAACATTGAAATATACACTGGTTATGCTGTTCAATACATCTTTTTGCTATGTTGCTATGACTAATTAAGCATTCATTCAAATTGTAGTTTGAATCTTATTCCTTATGGTGCAAGCATTTCCGAGTTCATGGTATCTTTAGTTTTCCATGTTCAGTTAACATGGAAAGCCACCTTTGCTATTCCGTTTGCAAGAGATGGAGTGGATAGCGTAAGAGACAAGAGGACTCATGTTTAATGAAGGGGGGTAAAGAACAGGTGACAGTCTAGCTAGGTGGACCCTTCTAACAAAGAGCGTTCACATTTAATAGAGGTAGCACCGGAAGAATAAGGTGAATTACCATTGAACAATGTCCAAACAGGTGCTACGAAGTCCATATTTCTAAGGGCGTGGAGGCAGATGGATGGTGGGGAATGTTTTGGGCTTTGGATAATTCAGTGGCTTCCCTCTTATTAAAGATGGTTCAGATGCTACTTGAGCGACGATCTGAAACAAATATTTTTTATTGGCATGGAAAAGCTGCATGATTCATGGAATTAAATCTACCAACTTTATGTTTTTAATCTTAAATCTGAAGTTCTACAACTGCAAGTGCAAAATTTGGCTCTTTGATTCAAACTTAAAGATGGGAGATTAGTCATTCAGTTTGGAAAATTTTGGTCCGGTTCACATTTGGGTAAAAAGTTATTTTGGTCAGGTACTCAGGTACATTAAGTCTTTGGTCCTCTTCACTATTCACAATTCAGCTGTATTGCCATTTGGTTTGATATGCCAAATTTTATCAATATCATCCATAACATTTTCCAGGTTGGGTCGGTTCAAGTTGGGTCATTTAGAAGTTGAGTTATGAATATAAGTCCAAGCTTGGGTTAGAGCATTTGGCTATTAGGCACAGAAATGTTCGTCACATATCTCTGCATCTTTGAAATGTATATGCCATTCCAAAAACAAACATACTGCATCGGAATGTGATGAGGCATACAAGTGTTTTTATATATCCCCAAAATAACAAAAAGAAAAGATAAGAAAAGAAAAAGGGAATAGTTAAATGAGTTATGTTGTCGGAACCTAAGCACAATAACTTATTGTGAGTTAAATATACTTGGGCTGGAGTGAATAAAAATTGATGAGTATGATTTAATTCCATTAAACATAATAGGAAAAGGAGAATAGTGAACTAAAACACACATAAAAACAAAGAGAACAATTCCCTTTGCTAATCTAGAAACCCTAAGTCCCTAACTAAAGTTATAGTTCTCATTTAATGCTAGCTTAACATTATATATTGTGACTTTCACTCTCTGCTAGTAAATGCATAATCTTATAAATTAAACAACATTCTACTTACCAATGAAAGCATAACACAGGCTGTCACCAGTCTTGAAATCACGGATGACCTCAGCCCTGAGTAAACCATTCAATCAGAAACAACCTCAAATTAATGGATGATCAATAGTAAGGTAAATAGTATATTCACTTACGATGTAACAGTTCCAAACCGTGAGAATATAGTATGCAAGTCCTCATCCTACATAAACAGTAACACAAATATTAAATTACAGAGTACAGATAAAAAAAAAAAATTATCAATAATCAAGAGGGAGTTAAAATGGCAACTCAGCTCCCAGCTCCCAATATTAGGGCCTTGGAGAATTGATTTGCATCTCTCCATATGAAGGTTGGGAAGGCATTTAGGGCATGGAACTAAGTACATGGTGTACAAAGACTGTTCTAAAAGGAATTTTCAACATGCTAATCCTGATCTACTCCTACCATGTTTTGTAACAATATCAGGCTTTGGATAATGGTTGTTATACAAGCGCATCAATCATTCCATTTCATTGTCAAAAGTCAAAACTGCTAAGCATATTGATAAGAGATGAATTATGCAAGATGGAAATCTACAAAATGTAAGGGTACATGAGCCAATTTGTGGGTTTGACTATTTGGATGAATATCCTACTTTGTAAAGTGGCTTAGGTGACTAACACTGATACTTGTGTCTTGAGATTACAGTTGATGATGGGAAATAGAAATACAGAAACAAGAGTTATAAAAAAAAAGAGGGGGGGGGGGGTCTAGTACTTGATCAAAACTGCAGCACTCCACTTCAAACACAGCAATATTTTCTTTACTACAAAGAATTCTAAACCAATACCAATAAGAGATGAAAATAGACCAAGAGCTTTACATTGATAGGTCAATTGGCGAGAAATGAAGAAGTTATAAGCTTGGAAGTTAAGTTGTCCGGCTTGCAGCTTAGAGCCTTAGACCGCCCACTCCATATTGCAATGGAGAGTCTTGGCTGAGTGCTTGGAGCGTCTGCTCCTCACACTGGAGCTCTCTCTCTCTCTGCATTCGGCTGTGTTCTGAAGAAGGATTTCTTGTCAAACTTGGATTAAAAAAACCTATTCCCTGCCAGAGGAGCTTCCAGTGACTTGTTAGGGCTTCCCTCGCAAATGGGGGATGGTGTTTAAAGAGATTTATTGGTATTTGGTAAAAATTAATCTTAATGCAAGCTTCAATGGAGGATTTGGTCAGCACTGAGCCCTCCCATTTGGGTTGACCATGCCCTTAATTACACTCTTTTTCATAAGGTTTTTGTTTGATTTGGCAGCAAACCCCCTGGAAATGGTGGTGTCTAGTGGAAGTGGTGGAAATTGTGGAAGGAAGAAGATGCAAGAACAAGAAGTCAGCTTCAACGGAGGAAGATGGAGTGTAAATATTATTTTAATAAATTCACACAATTTTCAACACTAGATAAACGCCCCATGCTTATCATAAACTATAAAGATAAATGTGAATCCATGCAAATAATGTAGTCTAAGCTTGCAATATCATGCATTGGCAACAACTCCAAATATCTACCAAGTAGAAAAGATACATACCTTAGTAACTAACTTATTTACACCTGTAATTCATTGGCTGTTGGTTGACGGCATTTGGGACTTAGTAGCAAATTTTGTAATCTATGTTTATCAAGGATTTGAGTTTGGAAGACTTTTTCAAACACAAATATTTGAGGATTTTTGGTACCCTATGACCAAACCTGAGATGAGTGGTTCCCTCAAGACCGGTCAAGTATTTCAACTATCCAACAACTCGGGTGCAAAGCAAAATATACCCTAGCCGGGACTCAACAATACAGGGCCAATAGGGGGGAGGAGGGAGAGGGGGGGCATTGAACATAACACATTTTTCAATGATTTCTCTTCTTATACATTTTCTCTTTATTTACAGTTCGATTCTTTATTCTCTCATCTAACCTTTCTACATCACGATTTTTGGTACCCTATGACCAAACCTGAGATGAGTGGTTTCCTTAAGACCGGTCAAGTATTTCAACTATCCAACAACTCGGATGCAAAGCAAAATATACCCTAGCTGGGACTCAACAATACAGGGCCAATAGGGGGGAGGAGGGAGAGTGGGGGCATTGAACATAACACATTTTTCAATGATTTCTCTTCTTATACATTCTCTCTATATTTACAGTTCGATTCTTTATTCTCTCATCTAACCTTTCCACATCACTAGTGCTTTACTTAACCAATGTTGGCCGCATGTACTCTTCTGGTTATTGTGCCTTGCATAGATAAAGCTTAAAGGAGGCTTACGTAGATTCATTACATGATAGTAATGAATATCAAAGTTTCACTTACATTAATCACTACAATATGTAAGTATATTTGGAAACATAATAAAAATAAATAAAGTGTATTTTCCAGTATGTACATTCACACTTCAGAGCTTGATTATTAATGAGCAATATAAGCAACCATGTGGCCATTACATTTCATTCTATTGTTTCTTCGGCAACACTAATGTCAATGGGCAGCCTAATAGCCTAATAGGAGTTCTCCAAGGTCTTAGCTGATAATTACCGGATCCAAAAATATAGATGGCAATTTAAAAAGAAATTTCTTTCTAAAGGGACATACTGAAAACTCACCTCAGTCACCGGATTAAGTTTACATACAAACAACACATTATCAGGAGGTTTTACATCAGCATCTGGAATGTCACCAATCTGTTACAAAATAGATATGAAAATGCTTCTTTGGTTATCTTTATATTGTAAACAGATTAATTAATTAGAAAAATAAAATAGATCTTTGAAAATACATACACTTTCAAGAACCACAGCCCTAGAGTGTGCTTCCTTTGTACGTATAGCTTCCTCCAGCTCTTCTGGAGGTAATTGTTCGTCCATAGGTTCCCAATCATCTTCTAGTCTCACATCATCATCAACCTATGCATATGAAACACAAAAAATTCACAAATAGAAATAATGCCAAAAAGAGTTATAATAAAATCAGAAAGAAAAGCAGATCTTAACAAAAGTCTTAAGATTCAGAAAACAATGGAGCAAGAAGCTGAATTGGGTCTTAGTTCGCCATATGGTGTAAGGTCAACAACAGATATCAGTTTTAAAAGGTGCAAAGGTGTACTGAGGAGAAAAGGTTTTCCCTGGATCCTAGGCACGAAGTACAAAATGTAAGGCAAAGAGCTGAAGATGCACACCTTTTGTGTATGTTTTATCTTACACAAAACATAAAACCTAAAATATAAACTTAAATAGACAAATCAATCAAAGAGATGAGTCAGATTACACGTGAATACATGACTGTTCTCTTTGGAGTAAGATCAAAGAAGAGTGTGAGACAGATCGGAGAGAAAATGGAAGTCATCTAATGAACATGTCATTAACGACCACCGTGTTCACTGGAGCTATGGTATCGGAACTAACCAGAAATAGCTGGCAACCCCTTCACTAACGTAGCAAACAAGTTGCTGACCATCAATTGCTACCAATTTTTATTAAGATTTTAGAAGTTCTAGGGCTTATAAATTGAGTTTCAAATTGACAAAATCTAATGCAATTAAATTTGGTAGAAATAATTCTTAAAAACCTATTAAAATTTAATTTGAAGTAAATTGTATTATTTTTCAACATTTCAACTCATATCCATGTTATCACCAAGGTGAAAATTTTTCTGCCATGACTCGCCTAGTAGGCTACCAGGCTAGTACCCAAGGTGCAATTTTAAAGCTAAGAACACATTTATGAAAGAGTTTAGCTTCCCTCTAACTAAAACATTGCATATAACCCTTGAGTCCAAAGGCTTCAAATTGAGATAAATGCAAGCAAACATATATGTGAGAGAGGCAAGTTTGAGTATTATAAGTGCTGAAGATTGAACAATGACAGATTCATGCTGGAGGATAATAAATCATATCGATTTTCAACTGTAGAGGAAAAGGCATAATAAGAATTCTACAGCAATCATGTCTTCAGAAAAGGATCAAGCTGAAGGAGTTAATGTTTCAGCCTATATGATTTTGCCTCAATCTCCTTATTCAAGGTGATAAACAAGATATTAAATAGCTTTTTCAGGAATTCTCTGAGGATCAACACAAGCTTTATTACACATTACTAAAAAATTCTCAACAAGACAGCTGATCAAAATTCTCGTGCTTTTTTTGTAGGGAACAAATTTTCGATATGGCTCTTGTTGCTAAATGCTAATGAGGTTGTTGATCATGTCAAACATAGAGGCAATATAGTTTCTATCTTTAAGTTGGAGTTTTACGAGAATTGCAAAAATGTTTGGTCGAAATTTATTTGAATTTGGACAAGGTAACAAATCAAAAAGCTTTGATTCCGTACAGAGGAAATGGTCTTTCGGCTGTCTGTCTTCTGCTTGGCAGCCTAGAAAGTAGTTCTGGGCTTTGATCAAATTGATAAGAGGTTGTGTAATAGACTGATATTCCTCAATCTACTAACAGTAAAATAAAGAGAAAGATTGGTTCTTTATTTAGCTAATTAATCTGATCTTTTTGGTAAGTTTATTAATAAAGAAGAAATGAGAAAGGTGGAAGCTTTACTATTGATTAGTAATGGTGGAAGGATTACAGAGGCTATTACTCTCAAAAGTGAGTTGAGCTCACAACTCTCCAAAAGTGACTTGAGGTCACAACTCTCAACAAGTTTCATCCAATTTTTGCCTACCTTTTTCTTTCCTCCCTCTCTCTATTTATACCAAGGTTACAAACTACAAACCTAATAATACTACATTTCCCAAATTACCCATACCACATTTGATAACTACTAACATACTAAGGCCCCGTTCTCTTCACCTTTTTTTTTGCTGAACTGAAATTATTTTTACTGAACTGAAAAATACTTTTGCTGAACTTAAATTATTTTTACTAAACTGAAATTAATTTTACTGAACTGAAATTATTTTTACTGATTCCATGTTATATTTCTTCTTTGAAGTTACTGATTTATACTGAACTTAAATTATTTTTGCTGAACTGAAATTATTTTTGCTGAAGTGAACTTATTTTTACTGAACTGAAATTATTTTTACTTAATATTATTTTTTTAAGGTGAAGAGAACAGGGCCTAAACTACCCATAATACCCTCCCCTAAGTCAGTTCATTACAACACCGGCCCCCTAAACTTTGGCGGTTTATTTTTTATAAAAAAAATACGCAATGGTCTTTTTTATTACTACGTATTAAATCTGAAATAAACAGATGCAGAAATGGATTTGTGAAGATGTATCAAAACAATTCATTAGAGATCGATAGTATATGACTTTTTATATCAAAAAAATAAGCAAATCAAATAATAAAAAAATGAATACGAGCTAATCGACAGAAGACAGACATCTTATGATATTAAAGAAATTGAAATAAAACTATTACCTCTTCTTTTGGTTTGCCTTCTGGTGAAGCATCAGGTATTAAACTGGCCAGCTGGGGAGGGTCTTCAAAAGGATCGTCAAGCACGTAAGTGTGCTTTATCCTGTTGAGATACAACAAACATAAAAAATAAAAAATTAAAAACACATGCAGTATTAGAATTATGGTCATAAGTAAATCGAACTAAATATGAATCACGAAAATTTATACTCCCTCCGTTCCCTTTATTACATGCCTATTTCTCATTTTGCACGGGAATTAAGAAAGTTAAAGATTCCTTAAAACTAATAATTGAAAGTATAAATATGCATGTGGGGTTAGTGAGGGATAGAGAGAAAGAAAAAGTGGTTGGGAATTAAGAGAGAGAAAGTATTGGGAATTGATGTTAAAGTACAAAAAAGAAAAAGAAAAAGGGTGACAAATCATCAAAAAGAGAATAATATTGTAAAAAAGTACCACCTATAAATAGAAACAAGCACTTAATTTTGGTCACCACAAAAAGGAATACAGGCATGTAATAAAGGAACGGAGGGAGTACTAAAATTGTGCACCTTATATTCTTAAATGGTCTTCCCTTCTCATCCAAATAAGCTTCATTTATTCTCGTTAGTGTTTCATGACCTTCTGCAATCTCCCCAAAGACCTAGTCAACATAAAGTTACCCTTGTCACTTTAGATGATCATGCGTCAATAACAATATACACAACCATGGGAATGAGGAGACCTTCAAAGACATATAACAACCATCATTCAATCCCTTCCCTTCCAAAAACGCTCAATCTAGTCTAGTCTAGTTTAGTAAACATAAAAGGTAGTGGAAGAAAAAAGGACAACGAAATGACACAGAGAACTCCCCACCAAATGTTGAAAGAACCCCATGCAAGGGATAACATTTTATAATAGGTTTTGAGGTCATGTCAAGTAATCATCTAAACTAAATAAGTCTTTTTATAAAATGATTATAACATATACAATACGCAAGGAGGTAAGGTAGATTGTTGGTCCAAAATTTTGTAATCTATCATATATTATTACACAAAAAATGATTGACCATGCATGGTAAATGAATCATATAATTCCTTTCACCACTCAACTGTTGAACACAATGCAACAATAGTTGGTTTCAAAATAACAAGGAGAGTGCCTTGTCAAAGGCCCAATTAGGCAGATAAGTCCCCCAAAAAATAAGCATGGATTTGTGACCAAAATGGTTTCCATTAAGCACGGCATCAGAATTTCTCTGTGGCCCCTTCATCCAAGCACCACAAATTGTACTCTTTACAAATCCAACACAGTAAAGGTTAAAAAAACAACAACAAAAACAAAAATTATCATCTCCAACATTCCATATACTGTCAAAACTCAAGATAATAGATTTGTCCATTATATGAGAAATCCTTGCTGATAGAAAATGGAATAGATGAAGTCATAAAATATAAAACAAAATGCTTCATTTTTTTCTTTCCTTCTTTGAATTCCAGAGCAAATGGGGCCTATGGGAGCAGTGTTTGAAAAGGAGGCATTGAGGCGCATAAGGGGTCATGCGCTTTTGTGGTCTAGGCGAGACAATTTTGATGAGATGCAGCTTAAGGCGCGCGCGCGCACACACACACACAGTTCTTCTGCTACCAAAGAAAGAAGCAATTTAAAACTATGAGCTCAACTATTGATTTCCTGATCACATGCCTCAGTCTACAAAGAGCCAAAAAAACTAGCTGATGTATGACTCAGGGCGTCCTTATAACCAGTCAAAGAAGGATATAAAGCATAGATCAAAAGTAGGAGAAAGGAGAGGGGATAAAGAGAGATCAAAAATACAAGAAATGGCACAGAAAATTGTGCTTGAACTGCAAACATATAAATATATGTAGTCATATAAAGATCAGGTAGCAGATTTAACAAAAATAACCGGTAGCAGTCATTGCACACATACAGCAACATCAGTTTGAATAAGAGACTAAAGAAAGGAAAATTGGAACGGAAAAGGAGATGAAGTTGCTGGAAAAAATTCACTTACAGTATGCTTCTCGTCCAGGAAGTCAAGCTCATCTCTTAATGTTATGTAGAACTGCAAGTAGAATCAGTATCATAAGGTGAAATTCTGAATGAAGAAAATATTGTACTAATGCTCCTAGGCAAACTATCATTATTTCATATCCAAGATGTGTTAGACTAAAGTTGAAGTACGCTAACTCCTATTACCTGGGACGCATTCAAATTCTCCCCAGCACTAGCCATTGCAACAGTACCCATTTTTGAGTGCTTCACGTCAGGGTAAATTTCATCTTTGAAGAACCGAGCTTGGTCACCATATAAAAACCTAAAAGAAAGATTGATGTTACTTCATGTATATTAATATATAATCAATAAAAGTTTTGGTTTCAGATCATTTTTAGGTTGAATCTGTTTAGATATTGGGTGGACAACTCATAATATTCGGCTTTAGTTAAACCAACAATCAAGGGCACTATATTCATTCCATATACAAAAAGTTCCATTGTTCAATTTTTACGCAAGTAAATGTATAAATCAATATTACCAAAACCTGAGCAATACTTTTTATGGAATGAGAACCAAACATAAAAAGTTCAAGGATCCAGTAATGTAGGTCAGATTTCCACTAGCATATGCTCCATAGAAACCTAGTTCGGTAGTGACAAGCACGCCAAAGCTATAATCTATAAAAAGTATAGATAAAGAGAAATTTGATCAACGCACATATCCAAACTTCTTAATACTTTATCTAATTCTTTTAACTAAATCAGAAGAAGGTTTATAATCCTGTTCATATGTCCTTCTTTCAACCTTTTTATTTCCACCCAAGTACTACCATATCCAAACATATCATAGATCAAGCCCTATAAAGGCTAGAATATATCTTTGCATAAATTATTATGCTATTCTTTAACCCTTTGCTTATGTCAACATCCTAGAAAGAAGATGAAAGAATAAAAATAATTTCAAGTCACCTACAATGATTTCCTATTTTGTATATTCGATAAGATACCATGATATTTAGCTTTGTAAAAAATTTATGATTGATACCTTATTTAAGAGTAGCCAAATGTAAATCAGTAGGGATTGCGATACATAAATTCTATATTAACCCCAAAAAGAAAAGGGCAAGAGAGGAAATCCTATACATGGAAAAGTACATACCTTACAACTAGAGGTGTCAATTCGGATAACCGGATGGAGTTTGGGTCGGGTCTGTTCGGGTCAGATATGTTCGGATCAAAATTATCCTTTTAACTTGGATCGGGTCGGATCGGGTCAAATTCGGGTCAGGTCAAATTCGGGTCATGGTCTATGGAGTCTGGGTCGGATACGGGTCGGGTCAACTTCAGATCGATTCACTTTCGGTTCGGATATATTTGGATCGGGTTTGAAACGGGTTTAGCCGGGTAACTTCGGGTCGGATGAATTTGGGTCGGGTTGATGATTTCGGTTCGGATGATTTCGGTTCGGTCAAGTTCGGTTCGGTCAATTTCGGTTCAATTCCTTTTTGTGTTTGGCTGGATTTTGGTTAAGTTGACCAAATTCAGATCCAAATAAGGTTATTTTAAAACTAGAGATATTGTTTAGTTTTTACCTTATTATTGGGTCAATATGATTATTAATTACGAAGCACGAAGTTTTAGTTTTCTCATTTGATCAAGTTATGTGTAATTTTTATCTTTGAGGAAACTTGAGATTGAATAATTATCGATGACTTATCATACCCATATAAGTGAGAAGTGAGACGAGCTAGTGATATATTGACGAATAATAGTTACATATGGTGATATATACAAAATAGTATGTCATTTTTTTTAGGTTATTACAAGTTTACAACTCTTCATCAATTGTACAATCATATGAGGCTATGAGTTATGTACTATTAGTTTAGTTTATTACTGATTCAATTTTTTAAAGATATTTGTTAGAATTGTTAGAATTACTTTATTACTAATTCAATTTGTATATTAAAAACTTGACATTATACATATTGATAGTTAATTGTTACTATGTAAATTCTTTTTATTTAAGCATAAATTATTGCATATGTATGTAGTGAGTATATAACCGTGCGATGTATAACGCCTATAATTCTACAATAATAAACAATTGTACTCCGCACTTTTAACCGATAACTTCAGTTTTATCAATATAACATATTTCCAACAAGTTTAAAGTAATATTAATTAGTATATTACGAATCATATGAGTTATCAAACTAAACATTAAATGATCTATAATATACAATAATTAAGTCTATAAGGGTGTGTTCTATTCATTTGATTTTCACTAACCTAACTTATCTTAACTTACCTAAACTTATATGAACTTACTAAACCTTATTAACACTTATTATTTTAGTCTTAATTTGTACTTGGGTAACCTTATTAGAACTTATTAAATATGAAGTGAACTTATCTGAACTTATCACACCTGAAATCGTAAGTGAAAATAAGGTGAACAGAATAGACCCTAAGTTATGACAATATGCAACGGACTAGCGTGGGACAATACTAATATAAGGCCGAAAGGTTGGATATTCAATTGATAAGCTTAAAGCTTGCGCAAGATAAATATGGCTTCAGGCCATAACTCTCCATGTTCTGTTTACAATTTTCTGGATACCTCTTACTTGCTAGGCTTCACTATTTATACTACTACAACAAACATAGAAATGGCAATCAAGCCTTAATTAATACAAGTACTATTGTTTGACATTTTACTACTTTAGTCTAATACAACCAAAGGCTAAAGCTGTTTTGTCCCCTCTGCTACTCCTTCAACGGTTCTCTTCCCTCCCCTGCTTTGCCTCTTTTGTGCTGATGTTGTTGGTAAGTTGCTGCCTCTTTTTGTGACTTACCAATGTCACGGGTGGTGGATGAGGGTGTATTGCACAATATATACAAAATACGTAGTATATGAAATGAATACTTTATCACGAGTTCAGTTGGCACGAAAGTAAAGCACAAATATACAATCTATGTTGATAGTGAAAATAATAGGGAGTGTAATTACGGATTTTTAAATTGGTATTAATAATACTTTTGCTACCTCTTATTTATGTTTATTAATTCCCATAATTTTCTACCAATAGTAACTATCAATCGGGGACGGAGGGAGTAATAATAATGATCTTGTGGGAAAAAAATTCTACTAAAAGATGAAGTAATAAAAAGAATTATGTAAAAAAAAAATAAAAGGTAAAAAGTTAAAAAAAGAAAAAAGAAAAGGTAGTATAAAAACCCTATTATGAACTCCAACCTAACCCTAGTTCTCTCTGTAGCTGTCCTTCCTCCTCTTCATTCTCTTTCCTTTTTTTTTTTATTTTATTTGAAGGCAAGCATCGAAATTCTGGGTAACTTCGCTGTTTCATACGTATATTTCAATTCGTTGGTAATTCCATTTCATTTGTAGGTATGTAATTTACCTCCCTATCTTAATTTCTAATAGTCCCACCATTATATAAAACTAAATTACCTTGTTATTGCTAGATTTTTTTTTTGTTTTGAAATTAGAAAAGTATACATATAGATTTGACTTTTTAGGCTACCCAAATTATTTTATTCGTATGAATTGTTATTATATACAACTAATACGAGTATTATAATATACATTGGGATCGTATGCTCATTAGATTTAAATAAATTTGTAAACGGTCAACATCTATACTAAATTGCAAAGATATAAAACTAATTGCAAGTTTTTGATTTATGATTTATTATTTAATAAGTTCTACACTAATTGCAAGTTTTTGATATATGATTTATGATTTACAAGAGGATGCTAGAGGGGTAGATCTACCACGTCTGGTTCCCCCTTAGTTTGGTAGCAGGAGTAGCTTAGCTTAGTTTGTTTTTTATTTGCTTTTGTTTCTGGGTGTTACATTGTTTTTGTTTGTTCTTTGCTTTTTCCTCTGTTTTATGAAATTTATTTTCCTTATTTAAGGTCTGCACTATATTTATGTATGGGAACGTTGCTATATTATTTTTATTTTTTTTTAAAATCAAATAATGATGAAAGATGAACTAGATTATTAGCTCAATAAGGTCTGCACTATAAGGTCTGTCAATTGTCTCTTGCTTACCCCAATGCATCAATGACCCATCTATTAGCTTATTTTGTTTTACCTTTGTTTTGTATGCCTTTTTAATGATGTTCATTGTTCTTTTCAGCAATGGCTCCGAATGATAATTATCTTGAGTCTAATATAGGTATGATTCTCCAATATTATTCTTTTAAGTTATTCATTTACTCTGATTGTATATTGATTTTTTTTTTTGTTTGTTTATCAGATGATAGTGATTTACATTCTGAGCTCGAGCCCGAGCCAATTGTGGAAGATTTGACCGTAAAAGACTCCATCACTGATTTATATTATTGGAGTCGAAACATTGCAATGATATTATATGCAGCGTATTTTGTATATGAAAATGAAACTACTAAAAAATACCTAAGTTTGAATCATTGGATTAAGTATATGTAATATATTTAATTATTATAATGAAAATGTAAGCGCTTGATGTATCCTTTAAAACTTTATTTATTTTGCTTTCATAATTGTTTCTTATAGGTAACATCAGACTAGTAGTAATGTGATTTATATTGATATAATTGGTTGTAGGTGTTAGAGAAAAGAATTATTAGTTCATAAAATATAACAGAATGGGAAGAAATTCACTAAAAATAACAATAGGCTTTAGGCAGCATTTAACTAGAGTTTTACGAGCAAATCAATTAACTCCCGCTTAATGTTTAGGTTTATTAGATCTTGTGGCATTTATTAAAGCTTAGAAAGTAAATTAATATAATTGATATGTACATGAAGTAAACTTAAGACTCCGGATTATTTCTTTGTAGTCAAAAAGTTAACTTATTAATAATTAGTAAATATATAGTATAAGAACTTGAATAAAAAAGTAAATAAATAATTATGATCGGGTTAAATTTGATCAGGTAAAAATCAAATTGAGTTAAAATTTGATCGGGTTAATATCAATTCGGGTCAAAACAAATCGGATTAGATCGGTTATTTTTCAGGTCAATGTCGGATCGGGTTGAGCTCGGGTCGGGTCAAATCGGTTCGGTTAAGTTCAGATCGGGTCAAGTTCGGATTCGGGTTGAGTTCAGTTCGGTTACAGATCGGGTTTGGGTCTTGAATTTCTCGGATCAAATCGGATCGGTTACAGTTCGAAACGGATAATTTTTTTCGGGTTGGTTCGGTTTTGACACCTCTACCTACAACCAACAACATATTTATGAATTTATCAAATTTCAGCCGGATTCTAGCTATCATTTCAGCAGGATGAGCATATGTCCATACGATAAGGGTGAACAATATATCAGAAATAAATTTTTTATTATACAAAAGGAAATGCATGCAGATTTCATACTGAACCAAAACTGAGGGATGATAATTTCATTATGCCTATTAGAGCCCCATCGATAAATCATTTCCTTTAATAAAAGCACAAAAAAAGAACCTCGAACTTCATACCAGATGAATAATTTCATTATTACACAATACATACTTATAGATAGAGTTGCCGCCACTTCCTGTTCCAGTTGGATCACCAGTTTGCGCTGTAAAATCCTTCTGCACTGTGTGAAATAAACAACCATTGTAGTATTTGATCCTGCATCAATAAACATAACGCAATTCCTTAATTTTATGTACATGACTACATATTGCACATGACTATTATTTTATTTACAAGTAAGGCTATAATTAAGCACCTAATAACGCTTTTAAAAAATATAGTAAAGTTCCTTAGATGATTATATAGATGTCATCTTACAAAAACTTGAGCACCTTACAGCTAGCTAACTATAATTTTTTTAATTAATCATTTATTTAACACTAAACTATGACAAGTACCAACACTAAACTTCACAAATTTGCATCAACCCATCCAAAACCCCCTACAGATCACCTACTGACCTTCCATTAACAAAACCAATAGCATATCCAATAATTAAAAAGGAAATTTATGATGCTCAATATGCAAAGAGAACAAAAACCTGCAGATACACTCAGTTACTTTGACAAGGCAGTCAAAATACAAAATGTGATTTCACCAATAACATCTGCAATTCACTACATCAAAAATCATTGCATGTAAAGTAGAACAAAAAAGAAGGGGCAAGGACTCTATAGGCAGCAGAAAATAACATATCCCAAGAGTGCATTGCACAAGCTTCTAGCATCTTCAACATCCAATCCCGTCAATAATAAGAAGGGGGAAATTAAAGACAGAAGCACAGAACCCATTCAAATTCATCACCCCCAATGCTAATAACTAAAGGCATAACTTACTACGAAGTACTACATAATAGCCTCTAGTAATACATGTTTTTATGCCCAATAGGTTAAACAAAAGTCCCATGGCAACACAAACCTACACCCCTGGCTAGTTTCAAATAATTAATAATGGGCTAATCTCTAAGTAACAACATCCGATTTCATCACAACCTTTAGTATTACTCAAGTCCATGCCCGAAAAAGCCATTTTGTAAAGCACAGAATTCATTGCAACATAATCACACAAAAATGCAGCCCACAGTCTCAATTTATCAGCCACAAGATAATTTACCAAGGAACAACATCACCATAGCCTATAGTATTACAAGAATTTGTGCCCAAAAAGGCCAGTTTGTCACACTCGTGTTTTTCACAGCTAAACAAACACACACACCCTATAGTATTCTACAAGAGAACATTTGAGACAAGAAATGAATATCAATTTCAGGATGATTGACCCTTATAATCCAGTCCATCTTTTTTGGGGCTTGAGGAAACGTGTCTTAGGTCCATCAATTAGTAGGTATGAGAGGATTAATGTTGGATGACGAATGATTGGTTTACTTATTTGCGCGAAGGACTCTCTTTAACAGAATACATAATTTCTTGCTACGGAACCTGTAAAGCGGCTGTGGATACTGCTGTAAGAACATCCGATGCTGGATATCTCTGCTGATTCCCCCTACCCCTCTCAATCTCATACACACTGAAATAACCCCACAGGCCACAACAACAAAACGTTATCCCCAATTGCTTCCTTACTTTAATTTTCCTATACAACTAAGGGATTTTATTAAGTACCCCACGAATACAGCACAAAAATTACACAGAAAAATAAGAAAAATTACATAACAAAGAACAAGGGAAGGAAAAGGAGAAACTTACTTGCAAAGCTTCAAGAAGTTTTTACAAGTTAACGGACAACGTTCAATGAATAAGTCAATCACGAATTCACCCAAACTTGTTTCCACCATAACCGACATTGTCTCTTCTGTAACAATTAGAAAAAAGTCACAATCAGAAATAATTCAATTTTCATAGTTTCGTCTCAACATTCAAGGGTTTTGCAGCACATTATCAACCAAATTTGACTCAATCATCAAATTAAATTATTCTTACAAAAGAATTTTGACAGCAAACAGTTCAATAATCAATCCACTAAAAATTATATGAAAAAAATTAACGATTAACACTAGATTGTGAAACTGATTTTCGATGACTAAGAAAAGAATCTTACCTGATAAGCTGCTTCAATGAAAAAGAGAAAGCTCAGAAGCTGCTTCAATGGAATATTCAGTGTACGCTGGAGGAGAGAGACAGTGAGAACGGAGAAGGTCTAATATTTTTTGAGAGAAAACGAGAATGGTTTGGTTGCCCTGCACGGTGCTATGCCGCTTTGTCCAACTATAGGGGCAACAATGGTACTCCGTATTTTGCATCACTTTTAAATTTAAGTCAAGTGTATGTAAATACGGTATACGTATCTAAATACAAATATAAAAGTCGAAGCTACCAGTCAAAAAAAAAAAAAAGTCAAAGCTACCCGTTTGAATGTATTTCCCCGTTTCATGATTTCATCTTCTTCCATCTTCTTGTTTTCCCGCTTTGTGTCCAGCAAGAGCAAATTCATCCTCCATTGCAATGTCATCTTCTCCATTTTTGTCAAAGATAATTACTGTTTCAGGGTTTTTTGTCCCTCTAGAGAGTTACGACACTAAGGCCCCGTTCTTTAGAGCTTCTTTGCTCTGCTCTGCTTCAATCTGCTCTGCTCTGCTCTACTCTGCTCTGCTCTGCTCTACCCTGCTCTGCTCTGCTCTGCTCTGCTTAAAAATAGTACTTAAAAATAGCTGCTTCAATCTGCTCTGCTCTGCCCTGCTCTGCTTCAATCTGCTCTGCTCTGCTGAAATCTGTTTTGCTCTGCTCTGCCCAGAAGCTCAAAAGAACAGGGCCTCCGAAGATTAAGTTAGTAAAGTATTCGGAGTAAAGCGGAAAAGAGTTCTCTGCTCTGATTCCAAGCTCGGGTAAGGTGATGTCTGTTTCTTGAGAACGACAGCTCTGTAATAAATGTTGATGTAACGTGTTGTCTCGTGTTACGTAATTGTCCCATAAATGAGGGAATTGTCCCTATTTATAGGGTCTTTGGGGAAGTGTGCCCTCCCTAGGGTTTGATGACCTAGGGATTAGGGCACGCCGCAAAACGGCGCCTCAAAGTTTGGGCCTGTGTTATCTGAGTGACACGTGTCACTCATCCTAAGAGGCCATTTGGGCGTCTCTTAGTGTGACACGTGTCGCTCCCCTAATGGTCCACTTTGGATCATCAAACACCCCAAATCAAGGGTGATATCTGCCTGACACGTGTCACCATCTTGGAAGGTCCAAGGTGGCGCTTCTTCCAGCGACACGTGGCAGGCTCCGATTGGGCCACTTGGCCGTGTATAAAATACCCAAATCAATTACCAATTTGCACTGTGAAAGCCTTGGCATTTCAAATGAAGGGCAAAGGTCAGTTCGACTATCAAATTTTGTGTAATTAGGGTTTATCTATTTTGCGACAACAATTGGAGTTGAAGATTGCATTTTTTAAAAAGACATACTCATTATAGCATATTAATCGAAATACTTGAACTCCTTTAGCTACGATCACTTGATTAACCTGCTTAGACAAACTTGACTGCTCACCATTAAATACAAATTCCAAAATAGATCGCCGCAGAGCCACCATAAGAAAAAGACATGGCCACAAACACAAATAGTACAACAAAATAACACACACGTCAACAAAAAGTTGAGTAATCACCACATATCAGGCTACAAGAATAATAGAATATTTATATAATTAGATCACTTAAACAATGTAGTTGGAAACTACATTACACATATGCACCTTAAGGGTAAAATAAATGTTTACTCTGCAAATATCCTTTGTCACATCTAACCTCGAATAATAATTTATTCCTTTATTCAATTAACTCATATATCCCATAAGTGTCATGCTCTTTGTTTTATACCTAGCCTTGGAAATGGGTAATTCAAATAACAAATCAACAAGTATAAAAACTTAAATACTCTCACTAACCAGAGAACACATCTAATCATGACCAACATGGGTCAAGTCCCACTGTAGTGGACCATAGAAAATTATAAATAAAGATTGTACCTCATTCTTAACTTATGATCATTATCTCCTCACCAATATGCCAAGGATGAGGTCTATAATGTCAAGCCTCAAACCAAGAACAAGAAAATATTTCTCAACATTTGATCTCATACTTTGATCAAACAATCATTCACAATGTAATAGATAATATCTCTAATGGCACCCAAATAATTGACAATTCGAACTCGATTAAATCATAGTATATCTCAACTTTTATAGGGAAATAAAACTAATACCCAAATATAATAAACTCACAACCCAAAAATGATACTCTGCATTAATAACCCTAAAACATCAAGAACAATACTCCTTATAACAACAACATGAAAACCCATAGAAATAAAAACACAATCAATCAATGTAATACAATAAAATAATACACCAATTAAATCATATGTCATCATAAATTAACCATATGTTTTCAAAACATGATCATATGAATAACAATCATAAAGTTTCACATAATAATATAGAGTACAATCAATAAACAAATGATAACCAAACATGTCCAATAAATTTACACATAATAATAATACAACCGCATTAATATCAAACAACTCCAAAGGATTGATAGTGTGTTTACCTTCCCCAACCATCAGTATTAGGTAACGACCGGGTTCGTTACGACCACAAACTAATAACATTAATTTGTATACAAGAGGTTGCAATTTCGTTGGCACATGTATGTGATGATCAGGAAATAAAGCAAAAGGGTAGGCAAAAAGGTTCGACAATCGTGCATAATGAATTATGCAATGAAGATCATGGATTGATGAAATATATTTCTCAGAGACTAGGAAGGTTAATGTATTGGACGAATGATTAAAATAAATTATACAAATGCTTAAATTTATCATGCATGAAAAAGTCAAGTGTTCTTAATAGGAGGAAGAAACGGATGATAAGTACAGTAATACAATGGCCAAAACAGTTTTAGGATTGATGGGAGTATTTATAAGCAGAGAGATTTAGCCAAAGTCCCGAATAAAGTTGGGTTTACAAAATACAAGATATATATATTTTGAATAAAAAAAAAACACGAATACTCTAATTTTATAGTCACAAAATATACGGGGTATTACAATAACATAATTTAGAAAACCAATAAGTCAAAGCTTACAAATTGGAACCATAAAGACCCTTATTTAAAAACAAACCAATATTCAAAATCTCAAAACATAAATGAAATAATAGTAAAACATAAATAAGTTCAACACAAGAACGAATACTCTCATTCACACCAATCCCTTGACAATGTATATGCCAAATCCCTGAAGTTCACATCAGTAAGCTAACCTTTGCAATACAGCTTCCCCAATAATACAAGTGTAATAATTGGATCATCACAGGGGTCATTAAAAAGCAAAGGCTATGACCAAAAGAAAACACAAAAAAGCATGCAATTAGCAAAGCTGAGTACATACAAGCTACATCGCACAAAACCTAGGATGCTCAACTAATTAAAATAAATAACAATCAACATGAATTCATTAACCAAGACTCCACACTAAAATAGTTAAATCAACTTAACATACTCACTAACCAATTCCGAACACTTGATTCTTTATATTTAATTTAATTAATTAATTTAGAGTAAGCAATAGACGAGGTTGTCCGCCAACCCACCAAATCATTTTGGTTCCTAGTGACCATTTAAAATAAAAGTTTAGCGGTATGCAAGAATGGGCGCGACTCCATTCTCACAAAGTTAGTTATCATAAAATAAAAATGTAAATACTAAAAGAAAATAGGACATGTTGATCAAACAAGCCTCGGAAAGCCACAAGCTACCACCGTGTACCCCAATTCATAATTGTCAATACTCTAGAAGTGCTCATTCATGTGTTCACTTTACGTGATTACAAGTTGAATTTAAAACCGACTCATCCAAGTAACCATACATATAATTCACTTTTATTCTTATTTAGGACAGTGATGATCACATCACAAATTAACCTTTAATTCATTTTAAATTCCAAAGTATCCAAAATTGTTGAACATAGTCAACCCACCTAGCTATTTCGGCTTAAACTCATGGAATAATTAATAAACTAGTGTTCGGCCCGGGCGTTGCTTCGGGTGTTACTTTGAGTATCTTTATCATTATTATCAAGAGCTTGAAAGAATTTTTTATTTTCTTATAATATTATAATAACAATAATAAATAGTTTTGAATAATTTTTGCTTTTATTTCTAATATGTATTTATATAATTATGTGCATAGATAGAACAACATTAGCTTATAGCTTGGATGGTAATAAGTTTGTCTTCATTCAATGAGATCTCGTGTTCAAACCTTATTGTATGCATTTTTGGTTAACCATGACATGAAACAAAAATATGCTAGAAGTACATGTGGCATATTGAATGATGATGTGGCATTTGCAGGAGTTTATAGGTATTATTAAGTGGAAAATCATGAATCATATTCATAAAGCACCTAATCCCAAATTCGCATGCATAACACACAAGACACATAAATATACCTTTGAAGCGTGAATTCAACATAGTTATTTGACAGGCAAAATCCAGGAGAAAATAGATCCCCAAGCATTGCTCCTCTACTTAGTCCACGAGCTTCGAACGAGCCGTCCACCAATACTAGATTGGTCGAGTGATTGAGGAAAACCGCGATCACCACCTTTAATGGACTAACCGACCACCACGAACCACCTTGAGAGGCCCTGAGGGAGGAGAGAGATCTGTGAGAGAGAGGGAAGTTTGAAGGGATTGGTCTCGTGTTTGCCAACTCATGTTTTGATTTTACTGATCACTGAATTTCTGTCTGTGTTGCAAACCCTAGGCAACTGACGAGGGGTGGAACTAGGTCATTGAAACTAATCTTCCCCCAGTCAAACTAAATTTATAAACACTTAACAAACCTATATACAAGTATAGAGGTAAGTCAAGGGTCGAACCCAAAGGAACGGTAATGTTTAAGCGCTCTCAATTATGTGCCTAAGCTAGGTCGAAGTCTAAGGATAAAAGGAGAACACTAACAACTAACAAACAAAGAAACCAAACAAATAAAGCACTCTAGGAACGGGGATCAACAAGTAATCATGACAATTGTAGCAACTCGGAAATACATGCAATTCAATGGTTGTGAAGACTTGGCAAGCTCAATCAAAAGAGTCAACAAGCTATCTTCTAAAGGTCAAACTAGCGCCAACTACGAGAGACTCTAACTAGGAGCATCACTAATCAAGCTCAATCGACAATTGTAAGCTACAAATCAATGGTCCATATCAATCTAGACTCATAATGCAATCTAGCATAATTCTCAAGGCCTAATCGAATTACACACATGCAAACTTCCATTAATAACTTTGATCTCAACAATTAATCAACACAATCCCCAAATTAAGCACAATCAATCAATCATCCAAGTTTCACCCAATCCCTAACAAACAACTACTCTAACATCATCATCTAATCAACTAACAAATAAATAAATCAAGAATAAACAATATATGAAGAACAACTACACTAATCAAACATCAAACATCAAAATCAAACCAAACAAATTTGAAATCAAACAAAGCAATA